AGTCTACATATTTTGCTGCTTATTGATTTATTTGGATTCCGATGCACTTGCCCCAATGTGATGGTTGGGCCTTTCGAAGACTGAAGGAGATTAGTCTGCAATAGGAGTTCAATATTTACCTGCTATATGAACTTCCTCAGATATGAGAGTGATGATATCTATCTGATTATCCTAGTATTGTTTATAAAACATTCTAAAACATGGTTGTATAAACTGTTTTTTTTTATGAGAAATTTACATTAACTGCTATTTGGCCTTTTTTGAACGAAGAACTTTTGTTGCTGCAAACAACAAAATTCGCAAGCCACAAAAGATGTTACATTTTTTCCTTTTTTTGACAAATGACTATATTATCTTGATTATTTATCATTTGAAAATCCTTCATCTTGAAATCATTGTGAAACTGAAAAAATAAGGTTCAATATTCCTGGTTGGATGTACGGAATACTCATAGTTCTGGACTACAGGATACTTTTATCTGAAGCACATACTGGATCTGAGGCATCCCATTGTAATAATTGAAGAATGCTTGGTTGGCAAAATCTTTGAAACAGGATCCAAATCATATTTGCTCCATCTTCAACCATCAATAGTACATGGATTTGAGTAGCATGTCTATAATATACATCTATATCATATTGCCGTATCAGTACAAAGCTTTTTGATTGAGTGGTTTCTTGCATAGTGATAAAACTTGGATCAGATTGGTTGGTTGGACTCGAAAAACCAGGAAACAGATTCTCATCCACTTCAGTTCACTAATTAAGACCATTTGAGCCTAAAAAGACTGAAATGTCCTCAACTCTTTATTTGTTATGAAAGAGGTATCTGAATTTTTCCTATGGGCATTTTAGTCATTTTTATTCAGAAGAAAAATATTATTTATATCCATTACTTTCACATCTTCTCATTGTGTCTGCTGCTATTTTACTTTTATCCTCTTATATATTTCTATTACAAGAAGATATTTCTACAATATTATTGTTATGTTTTTTTTCTTTACATAATACATAATTATATTTTATTTTAAAATATACTAGACCAACAATCCAACCAATTGACCCATCGGTTCAATTAATGAACTAGTGAACTGAAACTTGTCTGGATCAATGTTCAGTTCAGTCAAGTTCTGATAACTGGCGAATGCATTGTTGGAAAGTGTTTGTTTTATAATGTTGATCTCTTTTATAATGTAACGATTCTGCAGGTTCTATCTGCTTAAGTTACAAATTAGTTGGTTAACTTTCCAAACCGATATAACCTGTCATCACTTATAAACCTGGTTCAACTTCACCAGGATTTTTTATTTGGAGTACTTAGGATAGACTAGTAAAATGTGTGCTTTTTCTTCAGTTCTAATCTTCCATTAGTAAAGGAGGCAACCATATCAAAATGTTTTCAGGCGACTTTAACCTCCGTTACATTTCATGCTTTACAGAATATGTTCTGTGAATTGCTTGCAGGCAACTTCATTGAAGAATTACCTCCTTCAGTCTGCAATCTTCTTCATTTGAAGTTCCTTTCTTTAAACAACAACACCATAAGGCAGGTATAAGATATTATGGCATAATTATGAGATTTCAGTGTATGGCATGTTTGGCATTGTATTTGAACTTCTAGAAACATTCTTTTCGACAATCTATTATTTTTTTTTCATATAGTTTTTGCTTTTTCCTCCATTGGACAATGCTTCCATTTACATATCTGCATATGCTTGGGCACATGCATGTTGCTGCATATATATATCAGTCTTAATACACTGATTTAGGGTAGTTTTGGCAGCTTCCTCAGAATCTTCTAAAAGACTGCAAAGCTCTACAGAATGTTTCTCTTCATGACAATCCAATATCAATGGATCAGTTCCAGCAAGTTAGCACCCATAGCCTATGTTAATTGGTGCATTTATGATGTTGAATTTCTTTATAAATGTTCTGATTGTGATGTAGATGAAAGGATTCGAAGAATTTGAAGCACGGAGAAAGAAGAAGTATGACAAGCAAATTGATTCAAATGTTATGATGAACTCCGCTGGACTGGATGAGGGTCTTGATTTACGATAATTATTTTATGGTAATGGTATGTATAAATCTCGTCTTAGTTGCCTGTTTTATGAAGTTCTTTTATATTTAGTCTATGAAAAATTTATAGTTGACAATGATCCGCCCAAATAAACTTATGAATCTCTCAACTTCTTGCCAAGCGATTTCTGATTGATCAAATAGCTTTAAATATTTGTAGATTTTCTTTCATCCCATAGAAATTCTCTGTAGTATGTAGCTATATACATGTTTATGTACTGATTGTTTATCAGGTAAACCACTTTATCAAAAAATAATGGATAGTTGTTTGATTACCATTCTTTAAAATTTAATTATTAGAATGAAATTGTAATATTCTTAACGACAGACTACTGCTATGAAGAAATCACATGTAATATTTTCATCCACATGCACCAAAAAATGTCATGTGACATTATTTTTTTTCTTTTTAAGAACTATTTTTTTTGTTACGTTAAACAACGTACAAAATGCTCATATATGTAGTTGAACCGAATCTGAGACTCATTAATTGTGCAGCATTGCACTCAACAGAAACAACTGTTGGATTATCTGTTGTCTATGATTGAGTTTACTTTAGAGAACTCTTTATATACTATACACTTGTGATAGATGAACCTTGAGTTATTTCAAGTTTGTTGTGGGGTAAATGCAATAATTTGTGCTTGGATTGAAGCATATTCAGATTACTGCAGTTGAATCCATTTGACTTTCTTATTTGTTCATAATTTGAAATTTTCCGTTTAAACGCCGCTAACTGCAGATATTTTTGCTTGTGTATTATTTCTTCCTTGCCTTTTGTACTCAGCCTGCTCCTCAAGATGACAGAATGAGTTTCGAGTGCTATTCTTTGTGAATTAAAGCAAGTTTAGTTCTATAGCATTGACATTGAGAAGTCATCTGACCTAATCCCTTGTCCATCATGATCCCTCTGGTAAAATAAATTAATGAGAGAGAGAGAGAGAGAGAGAGAGAGAGTTGACAAAAAATCTTATTTTTATTTGAGTTGTCCATTGGTTTTGCTTTATCTTTTGCTCATAATTTTTTTTTCCTTTGCAGTTCTTGCACCTAGTTCTAGACAGAAGACAAATAAATGGCGCTGGAACAACATATGTGACGTGGAAAGCCCACCTTCTGTGCATTAGTCACTAAGCTCTGTCCTGTGCTATCATGCTTGCTTGGGCCTCGGAGGAACTCGACTCTCAAGTAAAGCTCTTCCCAGTTTGGAAAGGAAAGTACCAGTCACCAGTTGTGTAAGAATTCTACTTATTTCATCCAGATGAAAATTCTTGTTTACCAATTGTAAGTTGTTCCTTTGCAAGGCGGATGATCAGAGTTTGAGCAATCCATATTATTATTATTATCATCATCTCATCATCATCATCATCATCATCAACCCTTCTCAGAGAACCTCATATACTTGGTATTATTATTATTATTATTATTATTTCTCAGACAACCTCCTATACTCTGACTGACTTAATTATTTTTACGACCTTCCATGAGGCATTCGATCAAAGTAGTTAAGTATGTGTTTAATTATCTAGCTAGCAGTTAGCATATTAGCTTTCTTACGAATGACAGTTCACTAAGATACTTTATATGTACATTAAAGTAGGCATGCTGTATACTAATAGATTTTGGTTGCTATATGCCTTATATCGTCTTCCTCTATTTCCGAGACTTGAACCAAACTATGATCTCTCATGCCCCCAAAGAGCAATCTGGTCTTCCTACCAATATTCAAATAAATAGCAAACTCTTAAACCTAAGAGATCTGGAACTGTTAAATGGCCAGAAGAATGAGTGCAGCTCAATACTGTGTCCCTTTTGATAAGAGACTACAACAACATATGAGGGTATATCATCACAATTTACCGAACGTATGAGCAAAAGAAAAGTAGGAAATAACAAGATTAAATCAAGAGAGAAAAGCCAATATAAGAAAAAAAAATTTAGAAGAAAAAGAGAGATATGCTTCTTCTTTTTTCGTTTCTTTTCTTTTGTTTGTTTTGGAAGGCTGAATACAGGTTCTTACAAAAGATAAGCTGATCATACAAGGCAGTGAGGAACACATATACATGTCCAAATTTCTTGAATCTATATATTTGACATCTGCATCACTGTGTCTTCCCTCCAGACTGTCTGTACCTTCTGTCTTCTCCTTTTACTTTCGATCAAGCCACAAAATACACCATTACCAGTATTACTGACTTCTAAAACCTGATTCTCGAGTGCTGATCCATTTACTTATTGAATCGGAACCATTAGCACAAAATATTTTAATCGAAGTTAATGATAGCATACATAAATATATATGTCGATAACTAATCATGTAACGAGATCTTGCAACTGGGTTGCTAAAATCAAATCGATTTAATAGACGTGCTTCCATAAAAACGTTTAGGCTCGTAAGCAACTTTGTGTCGCCAGTGACAAAAGAAAAATCCACCGGACATGCCAACAATCCAATGTTTCATGCAAATCCTTATCGCTATAATTAGCTGCCTTCCCCTTTTGTCTTGGTAAAACATTCTCTCCATGGACTGTGTGAGCTCAAATCCATTTAAACGGATCCTATACCCTCTCCGTGATGCTCGTGAACATGGTTTGACTTCATGGCTTGCGGCCTTCTCCTTTCATCCGACCCCCGCGAAGCACCCACGAAGAGCCCTCCGGCTGCCACGTACGCCATTCTAAGAACCACACACAACAGCCGATCCCCCTCAGCTCTTGCATCAAAAACAGGGGACGGATTTGTTTCATGGAAGCTAGTGATGGCAGTGGATCCCACCACCTTAGAGTGATCAATCATCCTACGCGGCGAAGCCTGATCCGTCCGATCGGGCGCGCAGGATCCTGAGATCGAGTACACGTGCTGTCCCTCTCTCTCGTTCTCCCCCCTTTTTATCTCTCTGTTTCCAACTTTGCTTCCATGCATGGCGATCTCTCTCCTCTCCGCTCAACTTGTCGCCCGAAAAGATCAAAAGGAGGACGAGAGAGCGATCGGAACTTGAAGTGAACCTCCCAAAGGTTCGATTTTTTTCTTGGTTTTCCTTGGTCTTTTAGAGGGAAATTTAGTGACCATCATCAAAGATACTTGCAGATGGAAGGCCGAAATCTTGTCGCTGCCAAAAGAACTGGAAATGGTGTGATTTCTTTTCTGCTCTTGCTATTTCTCTATTAGATTCTTGTTGTATTTCTGGTTTTTCTTTGTAGTAAACGGCAGCAGACGTGATTGAGTCAGTGTTCAAGTGTCCCAATCCTGTTCCTGCTCTAGAATCGGAAAGAGCTTCACTTTTTCTCCTCATTAGTTGCCCAAGCATTTGATGCTTTGTAGATTTAGTCTTCTGAGAGTAATCAGATGAAGACTTGAATTTGGTGAGGAACCTTCTCATGACTGATAGATTTGATATCTTTTTGTCCTAAAGGATCTAGGAGACAGAGCTGATGATCCATAGAAGAGCTCGGTTGGAGATCAAAGAACAGATCTTTGTGTTCGTGGGATCTAAGATTGATCCGACAAGGCAAGAACTGGGGGAATCTGGTTCAGCTCCTGCATCCACTTTGAGCTCCTCGATTGGCTTGGGTCATTCTTCTGCTTTATCTTCTCGGCAATGGGAACAGATCAGCAGGAAGTGAAGTCGCACATGTGCAAGGTCTGTGGGAGGAGCTTCCCCTGTGGAAGGTCATTGGGTGGGCATATGCGATCCCACATGTCCTTGATTTCCCCCCTTCAAGAGGTGGGCGAGAAGCCACAGAGCAGGAAAGGCTTAATTGCAGCTGGAACCGGTTACGGTCTAAGGGAGAATCCCAAGAGGACTTGGAGGATCTCCGAGAGAGGCGGCGAGACGCTTGATACCGGCTGCAACAAGTGTGGGAAGGGCCATTGTGATGGTTCTCACAGCAGAGCAGCGCAGGAGGAGGTGGAAGATATGGAGCAGCAAGATCAGGGAGTAGACGAGAGGGATGGCTTCTCCGAGACCCAATCCTATGGTGAGGTGACGGTGCTCCGGAAGAGGAGGAGATCGAGAAGAGTGACGTCGATCCCATGTTGGAGTTCTTCGCCACACGAGTTCGACAAAGAGCAGGAGGACGTAGCACTGAGCCTTGTGATGCTGTCGAAGGGCGTCGGGTCCTTCTGCAGTGTCAGCTCCGCCGAAGACTCCTTCGATAGGAACCTGGTTGTCGATTCAGCGTGCCAAGGCATGGATGGACAGGAAGAAGAACTGATTACTTCAAGAAATGTGTATGAGAGGAGTGAGCTAAAGAAGTTGGAATCCGATGCATCCGATGCCGGATTTGCTGAAGATGATGATCTCAAGATGCCAAAGTCCTATGACAGTGATGACTTCGATGAAGCATCGACGACTTGTTTCAAGAAGAAGAGCTTGAACTGCAATGCAGATCGACTCGATGCTTATGATGCCAAATCAAGCACAAAACCTGTAGACATTGATTTCCACAAGCCCCCGAAGCAGAAAAATCGATACAAATGTCTTATTTGTAACAAGTCATTCCATTCTTACCAAGCCTTCGGAGGTCATCGTTCGAGCCACATGAGAATGAAAGCCTCCATCGAAGCAGGGACGGATGGCAGCAGCACCTGCAAGAACAGCATCGAGAGCAATGCATACACAGCAACAAAACAGACCGATGAAGATTCCGGTCGGCGTGCTGGCACTGGAACCGGCTCTGAGGCATCCAAGAAGGTCAAGGAATACAACTGTCCGATTTGTTGCAAGGTTTTCTCATCTGGCCAAGCTTTGGGTGGTCACAAAAGATCTCATTTTCTGCCGAACTCCAATTATGAGGGGTCTTCTGCATGTCAACAGGCCATGGTGATCCAACAGCACCCTTCTGTGATGCCTGATATGCTTGATCTCAATGTGCCAGCTTCGGTTGATGAGGATCCTAAATTGATCACAGATAACATTGAGGCATGGTGGGTCAAAAGCGGTGCAGAACATGAGCCATTAGTAAGTCTGATCTCAAATTGAGATGCAGGGTGTACAGATTCATCGAATAACTTACCGCGGATTTGTTTGATTCGTTTCTTCTGATTCAATGGCAAAGTCACACCTACTTGCCTTTATCTTTTAGAATTGTAGTTTCCAAATCTGCTCCTCAATGAAGAGTTCTACACCTTTCATTAGTACAAATTTCCCTAAAAATAAGAGAAAAAAGAAGCCAGTATGAGGAATACTTGCCTTCGAGGTTGCGATTGCCGTGGCAGATTAGCTGGGAAAAAAGATCATTCTGAAGTAGATTGTATAATCAGGCATAAGCATTTTCTATCACAGGAAAAGAAAGAAGAAGAGGAAGCAATTGCAATGGAGTAGCTGATCAAAGTGCCAAAAGAGCCCAGCTCTTCATAATCAAGTTTACTGACAAGGCATCAGTTCAGCATTCATATTCTTCCCATTTGGTATTGAGCATGTCAGTGTTTCTTGGAGTGTCTCATTAAAACTTATGAGGCCAAACACAATATATTGGATGATGGAAATGTTAGTAAACAAATTTGTTTCTTTTCTGAAATCTGAATGCTTGATTTTAGTATGATTATTCTCACTGATGATCTCAAGTAACCTTCATCGGTATACATTTCCTCACCTTCAGAGGAAATTTGTTCATCTTGAGCCATTGTGACAACTCAATGCTTTCAGATTAAACTACTGTAGATCGAAGAGGTAGGAACCAGAAGAAGTAGATGACATTGAAGGTGATATCTGTTTGCCAGATTGCTCAAGCTTCCTCCTGATTGAAATATGTGACTGGTGCAGCCAATTCATGGATGGATCTATTTGGTGGTCTTTGCATTGCATGTGAAATAAGTTTGCAGGTTTTCATGACAACCATATTCTCTTAAGAAGTTCTTCTTTATATTTGTTTCATGAAGCTAATTCTGATCTCCTCCTTTCTTCCTCCTCATGGCTTCAAGTAATCCCCATTCTTTTCTTCCTTTGCATACAGAAGTTGGGCTTCTTTAGCATCAAAAAGCTCAATCTGTGCACTCTCCTACCTTCCTCCTCTCTCGTGTACAGATACAATGGTTAGATAGAGATACAATTAGTGTGCGATTACATGTTCTTCTGGCATCCCAAACATTTGGTGACAAACACAGGTCATATGGTGATGCTTCGAAGCAACGAAACAAAGTCTTGTCCACATCAAAAGATCAAAAAGCTTTTATCCGCAGCAAGTATGTCGCACGCAGCGAATCTGATGCAACGGTTCTGCTTTCCTTGAACATAAAGAACATGCCATTGGAGTGCTGTGCTATGAGAGAATTCAGCAATCTGGAATGGCCATGTTTGCTTGTTCTGTTTCATGCCTGCATGTGGACTAGCTTTAGGTCCAAACATATCAGCTTCACTTTGGGTAATTTGGGTGATTCTGAAGTGTTCGGATTGAGATTAGGAATTCAGAGAAAAGGAAAATAAAACTTTCTATTTCTTATCCTGAAATACAGAGGTGTTTTTTTCCTCCTTTTCGGAAGAACATGAGACCTTTTTTCCACTCTCCCATTATATCTAGACATGCCTAATCACAAAGTTTTCCTTATTTTCCATAATATTTTTTTGGAATTTTATAGAAAATCGATAAGACTTTACTCTTGCATTAAAAAAGGGAAAAGAAAAGGGGAAAAAAACATTTAGAAAACAATAATCTTGTGAAAAAATGGACACATGAAGGAAGAGTAGGAAACTGCTTCATGGTTTTGCTAATGCTTTTTTCCTTTTCCAAATTGATAATTCTCTCGGTTGGCTTCATGTGTTACATTACAATCTTTTTAGTGTCATACAGTATAATTTCTTGTTGATGTGCAAAACTAATACTTTGTTTTACAAAAGTATATTAATTGTTGGAAGAGAAGTGAACAAATGGCCAATTTTGAATTTTTTTTTTCCATTTATGTTCTTTATAGTAAACTATAGATAATTACTTGTCAACTGAATCTTCAACATGTAAAGCACAGAGGGAAAGTGATTGGACCAAAGAGATATCACAGACTAAAGGAAATGAAATGATCAGTGAAAGAAAAGACAAAACACAAAATAAGACTTGATCAAGAGGAACAGCTCAATCTTGATGCTGCTACTGAAATATCACCAAACAAAACAAAGCAGAAGTTTAGAGTCAGTGATACTTAGCTGCAGAATACAAAGAAATTTATCTTTCAATCCTCTTTGTCTGAGCATGAGAGACAACATTAACGATAGAAACTATTCTTCCTACATAAACTTGTAGAGCATTTCATGCTCAAAAGTAAGTATCCTTCAAAGTTGGGCAGCGATTCGACAGAAACGACTGGATACACTTGCAGCAGATGTTTGCACGCGTTGACCTTGAAAAGAGAGGCTCCACTAATCTTAGAAAGAGAGGCTCAAGAACATCTTTGCCATATACTTAAGAGTCACAAAAACTCTTGTTCAATTTGATTCCTCGGCACGTGATAAAATGAGAGGAAATCCATGGATCATCCAACCAGCATTTCTTTTAGCTTTAATCCAGTAGAACAAAAATCACTACCAAGAGACAGAATTTTGGTCTTTGAACTTGAAGATCCTGTAAAAAAAAGAGGAAGAAGAGATAAGAAAAGACAAACTAGTAGATAAAAGTCCAAAAGAGTTAGCAGATGTAATGCCCTGAAAAATTGAACACATCAAATATCCAATTTGAAATTAAAATACAGTAAACAACAAAGTACATGCAAGTAGCTTGAATTGCATCTGTATCAAGCTGCTTATCTATGGCCCTTTTAAAAGCTAATCCAATGTTGAGTTTCTCTCTCCATATTGAGTTAGTGGGAATTTTGATAACTTAATCCAAAATAATTACATGTATACACCTATGAATTTGTGGATTTTCAATTATCAATACCAGAATTTTTTTAGCAGGGCAAACAGATAAGTTCATGAAGAAGAGAACTGGCCTCGGTTAAATTTTCAGCATTGCTCAAGATCAGATGCCTCCTCGGAATCAGAGAGTGGTAGGAGAGTGCATGCTCCAACCATGTGGCCGTTGAGACAAACATAACACTCGATGCTATCATCATAAGCACCCAACCTGATGCAAGCACTCCTGGGTATCATCTTTGCCTGCAGCATGTTCCACAATTTTGCCTTGCAATATGGACACACCTCCGTGGGATGGAGTATGACTTGCCTATCGATCAGCATCTTTCTGACGCTTGAAATAGGAAATGACTTGAATACACCACGAAAAAATCCAACATCACCATCATCTCCTTGATCAAGATGCTCACAAGGATCCGAAACATACAAATCATCCGTCCTGCACTGTGGGATGAGAAAGCTCTTTCCAGAAGTCCTAGAAAACCTAGTCCTGTAAACAAAATGACCTGGGATGTGGGTGATATTGAAGACACCCCTATGGCCGAACCCTGAACAATAGATGAGAAGCTTCCCGAGTGCTTTCCAGCTTCCATCAACACTGTGACTTCCGCAGGATTGTAGATCGAGCATCATTTTTGGGGCCCTTGATCGACAGAACTCTTTCCACAGGATTCGCTTGGCGATCTCATCAAACCATTTGCATACACACGACATCAGAGCAATCGATCTGGGATTCCAATTCAGATGTCGGAAGACAAGATAGATGGCATCCTCGCTCAGGTGACCTTTGATGCAGATGCATGAAGCTGAATGAGTGCAACGATACTGCTTCGGTACCAACATTCTGTCAGCAAGAAAGTACAGATTTCACTCTCTCTTGCTTGGATCCTTCCCCAGCAAAGAAGCAAATCTATGTCAGTGATTGGAAGAAGACCTGCTTATGTTCTGCAAGAAAAATAACTGTTTCATGACCATCTTTTTCATTTTAGTTTAGAAAATGCATCCAACCGTCTTTCAGATACAAAGTCTTAGGAACGAGTAGAAACAATTCGATCACACCGAAGTACCACAAAAGTAGCAAGTGCCACTACCATACTCTACAATTGCATGTCCTGAAGGATCCAGAGCTATGCATTTCGCTTAGTTTGAGAGACATTTTGGTTTCAGTCAAATGAATCGATCACTTTACATGAATCAGATGAACATAAAAAGTGAAATTTTTGGATGAAAATGGCCTTTTTCATATCGAAACTCATTTTCACGGGGAACTACACTTAAAAGACCTAATCATTATCCAGGTGATCATGCCAAAGCAAAAAATTCCATGGACTCGTTCTTCACTCTGTTAATTGTGAATTATTATAACAATTCCGTCCTAATTCTTCTACTCCAATCAGCATAGAAAAAAAAAAAAGTAAAGAGAACAAAAGAAACCTTCAATCCTCATCTGATAAATCATAGAGCAAAATCCGATATCTTTGTCTAATTCAAAGCATCCAACTTCTGGCTGATTTCAAACGTCTAATTCCGAAGCACCCACTTTCTTCTCCAAGCAACCCTATGATTCCTTGACCCAAGCGATTTCCACAACGCGTGCGGTGCGCCATGTCAAATCGAGACAAATCAGCTTCAAGAAGGGTAGACAGAGACGAACAATCGCAAACTCCCGTCGCCAGAAAACCAAAAAATCAACCAAAGAAACGACTTTTTAGGCGAATCATGCATAAAACTGGGCAGATCTCTCACCTGGACCACAAAGCCTTTACTCTCTTCCTCCCGTCCTCGCCTACAGGAACCAACCGTGTTGTGTATCCCTCGGTTGGAGCCAAGAGTCAATATGAGAGGGATCCCATCTCAGCTCCCCTGGCGACAGAATGGCAGCGGGTCAAGAAAAAGCCCCTCGCGGAGCACAGAAGAAATGACGGAGACACCATGAGGTTCCTCAGAGTTTGTCCTCTTCCGGGGGCACTTTCGTCAAGTTCACGAATTCAAGACCATCCGATTCGACAATCTAAGCGAGAGAGCGAGAGAGCGAGAGAGCGAGAGAGAGAGAGAGAGAGGAAAGCAAACTAAGTGGCTACGCTGTGTCGGGGGACACAGATACGTTCTCTGCTCTGTTCTGAGCCACACGACTGAGATCAACAGCTGCACGCCAATAGAAGGTTGCTCGATACTAGATTTTGTTCCCAAGACAGATTCCATCATCATCATCATCATCATCAGGTGTTCTTGCTCCAAATCTTATGATGCTTTGATATGCACACCTCAGGTTAGAATTCATCCAATAAAAAACACTTGAATTATTAGTAACCATGATCATCAATTGATGCTTTATACATAGAAATATAAAATGTCTATAGATCATCTATAATGTTCCAGAAACTTATCATCATAATGAGATTTCAAAGTGTCCTAATTCCAATTAGAACTTTTACACAGGGGTATATATGCAAAGTCTTTTATATATATATATATATATATATATATATATATATATATATATATATATATATATATATATATATAATTTAAAGGGATAAAAAATAAAAATCACTAACTGTTGAGGTTATCAACATTCATCCCAAAAACACAATTTAACAAATTCTAAAATAATTAATGTAAATAAAACAATATAAGATTAAAACTCCTAAGATGATTTGATATGTTTGGTTCACATATTCTAAGAATTGAAGTAGATCAAATCATTCTATGTGTTTGATTTTAGAATCCCGAAATAAGAATGGAAGGTTTAGAACAAATAATCCATTTTTATATTCTCTACTATGTTTAATATTCTAACATTGTTTTGTATTTACGTTATGTGATGTTTTTTTATTCTTCACATGTTAATTTATATGCTATATTTTCTATTATGTGGTACTTGAATTAATTTATGTTATTATTATGCTCATGTATAAGATCATAATATTGTCGATCACTACTTTGTTTTTTGGAATAATCACCGCAATCCAATAAAAACTGATGAATCCTATTCTTATTCTCATCAAACTTTTCACATCACTAAATGAATCCTAAAAGAATTAAATATGATAAAGAAACCTCTTTTTTATTATTTTAGAGAACATGAAAGTTGGGACTAGAAAATTTTAATTCATTATACTCCCACAAACATGGAGGAGAGATACCTAAAAGCTAGCCATCTAAATCAATCACTTTCTTTGGCACTAAGAGCTAGTGTTAGCCTTTGATCACTTTGCCTAAGCAAAACGATCACTTTGTTTATTTGTAAGAATAAAACCATGCATGATGCCAATATCTTCAAAGATATGAGGTTAGGTTGAAATCCTCTTGCATGCATTGTGTTAGTGACACTTAACAACCTCGTGTTAAAGCAAATGTGACATTTACAAGGTAACAAACACAATAAAAAAGTCCTTCTTTTAACCTATGAAGTTTTGGTTCAAGTTTACAATAAAATAAATTATTAAAAAAATTTTGATTGTTTAAATAGGATGTCGATTCATAATCATATAAGGTTTTGCTTTAGATTAGTATCAATTTAATCTCAAAATGTGTTGAATCTTATAAGAACTACATCAAAAGTGTACTCGACAAAAATTTTCTTATACTTAAAGTTAGTTGAAACATCAAGTATTGATCATATTATAAATCTTAAAAGTTTGAAAGAGATGAGATATGTACCTTAACGGTCTTTTATAAAAGATTTCAAGACTATTATACTTAATAATGTGCCTCGATATCAAATGCATTTACGTACCTTCTTTAATCTCAAATATAACTATGTCACATTGAATCTGAAGGATATGATTGTAATGTTCAAAAGATGATAGCGGATCGATTACATGATTCTGAGGTGTCAATTAAGGTATCGAGCTCGTAACACTAAGATGTCAGTCATGTAGTGTCGAAGTATTAGCCGCGTGGCCCTGAGGTGTCGATCACATCATTATTCCCATAACACATATTCTATTCAAATAAATTATAAATTATTCGATTATTAATTTAACTACGAAAAGAAGATTACAGTTTGTAAACTAAAGGTCAAGAGAATAAACTCATGATTGACTTCTGATAGATAAATTATTTACTTTAATTATGACTCAACATGTGATAGCCTAATCAATACGAGGATAACAAAGCACCAGAGTATTCGAGAGAATATTCTATCTATACATTAGAATTTTCTTTTACAACTAAACTACTATAAAGATCTACAAAAATATAAAAAAAATTAAGATATATGATTCATAAAGATTATTTCACCGTTATTAGCGGCTGACTTAAACAATGGATAGACTATATTAGAAATCTTGATCTTCACACAAATAGATCACATGTACTTAGTCCAGGCATTCGAGCCATCCAATCGATGACACTAGACTTCTTCCACATGTGGGTTAAACCAAATTAAAGTAATCCAAGGGTTATCAATATTTCTTTATCAACTTCTAAAATCTTTAATATTATATTAAAATATGAGAAGGTAAGAGTGACTTTATAAGGCTTAATAAATCAATTATCCATAGAAAACCTTAAATACTTACTTAATCGCCATATTTATTCAATACATAAGTATATTTTTAATTTTCATAAAAATATATATTTTAGGTAGATATATTGTTTATATCTTTGATTTAAATAAGTAATCTTTAGAAACTCAAATATGATAGTAAGAATATCAAAATAACTTAGCTTTATTATTATTATGTAGAAATGCCTGTATTATTGGGTCAGTTTTATAACACGTGGCGGCGTCTAACTCGAGCTCATCCACCGGTAATTGCAGAAATCGTGCAGCCAAATCGACCACTAATTTTTTATCCCCGATAACTTCTAACAAGTGCCCATTGGAGCGCGTGCTTTAAATTCGTGTCCAGAGATCCATCGTCAATCAGACGATGTACACGAATCTCGAGGCAACATAAACTTTTCCCGGACCCAATCCCCTCACCAAAATTATTTTGGTCTCTCTCTCTCTCTCTCTCTCTCTCTCTCTCTCTCTCTCTCTGCTCTCTTTTCGCCGACGAATTCGATCTCCAGATCCAGGAAAATGTGTCGGTGAGTATCTGATCCAGCCACATTCTCGCCCTTCCCTTTAGCGATTCTTCCCGGTCGTCGATTCTTTATCCTTATTTTTGTTTCCTGATCGAGTCATTGTCGGATCCGGTGTTGCTTGTCGTGGATCCGAAGTGATTTGATCGGTGTGTAATGTGGTTGTGCGAATGCATGACAGGATCCCGACTTCACAGTCTAGAATTGTTTGATTAGGGATGTTGAGCTCTTTAAAGTTACTATTCTGATACACCACTAAGGGATATTTGATGTAAGAGAAAATTTATGAAGAATGTTAAGGGAAAAGATGCAGTAGTTTGTTGGATGGTGGCTTAATGTCGACTGTCTATATTTTCTGTAATGGGCAGATCAAGATCTTGTTGAATGAATGCTGGAGTTCATTTCTTGCAGCATGGGATTAGGCTGTTCAGTGTGATTCATCAATGAGCTAGTCAACATGTTATAGTTCAGTCAAATGTCTCTACTGAGCACAATTAGACAGCACATGGAAATAGTATGCGGCTTGAGATGCTTCTGCTACTCTTTTTGGGGATTATTCGTTTGTCATATATCTTGGCTACTGCTTATGGAACTTCGTGGTGATTTTAGATCAAATTCAATTTTCAATTGTGACTAATAATTATCATACTTATAGCTGCAATGAATTTATGGTAATTGATAAACTTTTATATCAGGTGTCTGAGAATAGAATACAGTAGTTGAGGTACTTGCTACAACAAGACAGATATGTCATTTGTTGCTGCAAGAGCTAACTAATGCCATTACACTATCTGTAGAACATCAAACAGAAGACTGACTACTCTAGCCTTTTGACAAAAGGTGTACTATGGACCTCCTTACTCTCTGTCTTGTAGCTTGTAATTTGTAGTTTTGTTTACATTGCCTTTAATGACTTCTGTTGCTGTGTCAATTAATTGCATATGCTGTTGAATGTGTAACTCATACTAAAGCTGCATCTTATAATAAAATTGGGCTTAAGCAGATCACACTATGTTGAGATGTGATGAATTATTAGGTTACCAATGTTTGAGACATCTAAATTGTAAGGTATATGGCTATTGTGGAACTGAGCTCTTCTCCTTAATTTTTTCGCAGGTAAAAACTGTGAAAATTAGCAACATATCCTTGTCTGCATCTCAAAGGGATATTCAAGAATTTTTTTGCTTCTCTGGAGACATTGATTATGTTGAAAACTTGAAATGCAAAGGTCATTCTTTTATCCTCTATTTGTACCTCACGTATATGTATATTTAGGAATAAGGAAGTGATTACGGCAGTGACTCAGAAAATTCTCAACTTGCTTATGTCACTTTCAGAGACTCACAGGGAGCTGAAACTGCAATGCCTCTCACAGTGAGTTGGAGTCTTGACTCTAGACATAAACTGCTGCTTTCTTGTGCATATCTTACTTAATCAAAATGGTTTTTGCCCATGTTTTTTTTCAATCACATATCCAGGAATTATGTAAACTGTTTGTTGTATACAAATACAGGGTGCAACTATTGTTGATCTTTCTGTTAATGTAACACCAGTCGAGAAGTACAAGTTGCCTCCTGAAGCTTACCGACACAAGCTGGTAAGTCCTACCATTTCTCTGTTTTGTTTACAATGATGTGTGCTTGAGAACATGACTGCAACCCAAAAAATAATATTTTATAATTTTTTTCCCGTCCCTAGTATTTTAGTTTTGATAGAAGAAAAAAAAGTGTCATTTATGGCACTCAATTTCCTAGGCATATATGTAGCTCAGTGAATTGAAATTTGTGATAAAACTAAGTCTCTCGTGATCATGCTTCTCTGTAATAGCTGAAGCTGCGAATAGGATATTGATATATTGTAGCACAATTTGTCCACCCATGTCCCTAAATTTCAGACCTATGAAGCAAAAAATGTGACGAACATCGGATTTCATGTTGAAAGCCAATTTCTCTTAAAACATAATGTATGCGGAAAAAAATCAATAATTGTTTGATTAAGTGATCCTTCTTTCGCATTCAAAATTTTAACTGTTACACATATGTTTATGGTTGCAACTTCCAAGTATCGGATCCGTCACCTACCAATGCAGCAGTGAAGAAGGCAAAGGATGTGATTCGTAGCATGCTGGCAAGGGCTTTGTTCTCGGTAAGGACGCACTACAGCGAACCAAATCCTTTGACGAGCAGCACCAACTCCTATCCACTGCCTCGGCAACGGTAGCTTCTCTGGATAAGAGGGTCGGGCTGAGTGAGAAGCTACCAATACTGGCTCGGTCACTATGAGTAACCGCTGTGTCAAACTGGAGCATCGTGGATCTCCAGTGCACTTGGGAAGGTAGTGAAGGCAGCTGAAGATGTTGGCATGAAGACTAGGGAGAAGGTGGACAAGGCCGAAGAGGAGAGGAAGGAAATATTCTGGACCGAGAGACGAGGGATGGTGAGTGAGTATGCACAGGTTCACTTCGACGAGCCCTCACTTAGTGAACCTCCAACTATTCCTATGTATACTATGGACGAACTTAAGTTGAAGCACTAGAAAATTTCTGTACATGATAGAAGTTTCAGTCCTTTTTCGTTCCATTCTTAGTTTCCTTGATCATATAATTTATCTTTTATGTTTGTATCATCTATAAAACATCATCTTGTATGTTCTCATTGATAATAATGATCCAGATATATACACGGTTGCAAAATGTTCTATAGTTTAAAATAGTTTAATGGTGTTGAAATTTGGTCAAGAGTTGGACATTTCGATTCAATATTTTATCACTGAACATCGGCAATGTCGATCTCAAGCCTGCATGATAAAGGTGGTGGAGGATTATGTATTGACGATTCTCGTCGCTGATGATCAATCTAAGATTATATTAAATCTCATGAATATAAATTTTAATCGATTTTATTATAGAAATAAGAAAGTGATGTAAGGTATCTTCGCCATCGTTCCAAAGTGATGATGCTAAATTGATAAGGGTGTTAAAAAGATATATATATCAAATTGCTAAGATTAAAAAAAGAATGTGTAAGGATTTATGTAATATTAGATGTACTAAAGTTGAAGATCAAAGAATACATATTAATAAAAACGAAATTAAGAAAAGATGAAAAAAATATTTTTATAAATTATTTAATAAATAATCCATGTAGGACTTATATTTAATAATAAATAATAGTCGTAGACTTAATAACCATAGATGTATTCATAAAATTAAAACTTGTGAAGCAAAAGATACATCGAAGAAGAAGATGAAAATAGTTAAGGGTGTGGGATTGATGGTATTCATATTGAAGTATGAAAAAACTATGAGATAAGGGAATAGATTGGTTAACTAATTTATTTAACAAAATTATGAGATTTGAAAGGATGATTGATGAATGAAGAAAAAATTTCTTAATACTAATTTATAAAAATAAAATAATATATAAAATTATTTAAATTATAGAGAAATTAAAATCATAAGTCGTATATTATGAAATATTAGAAAAAATTATCGAAAGTAGGATAAGACTTAAAATCAATATATTTGAAAATCAATTAGTTTTATGCTTGAAAGATCAATCATTGAAACTATTTATTTATTAAGATAATTAATAAAAAAATTATAGGGAGAAAATAAAGATTTATTATGATTTTTATTGACTTAGATAATGTCTATGATAGAGTTCCTAAAGATTTATTATAGTGGAGTTCATAGAGATATATCCACTAATTATATTGACGCTATTAAAGATATGTATAACGATATAGTTATTAGTGTTAGAATTATAGAAAGTATTTAGTGAGTTTCCTATTAGCATAGGATTATATCAAGGATCTGTATTAAGTCTCTACTTTTTCACATTGATAATGAATGAACTTATTAACCACTTATATGATAGATCTTATCTAGTGTATGTTATTTATTGATGATATTATTTTAGCTGATGAGAGCTTAAGTGGAATTAATTATAAACTTGAACCATGGAGGTAAATCTTATAAGCTAAAAGTTTTATATTAAGTAAAATTAAAATTAAATATATAAATAAATTTTTAGTTACCTAAGAATAGATAAAAAGTATAGTTAGGTTAGATGGACAAAAAATCTCTTTAAGTAAAAGTCTTAGGTATCTTGGATCAATTATCCAATAAGATGGAGAAATCGATGAAGATATTATTCATATAGGTAAAATAAAATAGTTAAAATGATGAAAAATATTAAGGATCTTATATAATCATCGAATATCTTTGAAATTATAAAAAAATAATATGAGATAATTATGAGACGAACAATGCTCTATGGATATAAGTGCTGGGTAATAAAAAATAACATATATAAAAAATTTATATTACTGAGATAAAAATACTGAGATAGATATATAGAGTTATTAAGAAAGATAAAAAAATATTTTTATTCATAACAAACTAGATATCACTTCGATAAAGGATAAGATGAAAATAAATCATTTAAGATGAGATGAGTATGTCTTAGGAAACTTTCAAATATGATAGTAAGAAGAGGTGAAATTATTAATGTTAATGGAATGAGGAGAGGTGGAGGAAGACGTAAAAGATTTTTATAAAAATTATAAATAAAAAATAAATATTCTCAATAACTAAAAATAATTAAAACTTATGATTTTATTATTATTATTGCTTGCCACGTAATGATGTCCCTCGTACATATGATTCAATCCCTAACATTTAAGGCTATAGAATAATTAGATACAGCAGTCAATATGGCATAAAAAAAAAAACAGATGTATTATTGTTGGAAAGAACAATTAGATCTAGCAATCAACAATCATACGCCTAAAAAAACAGATATATTCTTGTTTTAATGATGATGTTTTAATGATGATATCAAAGAGATTTCTCAAAATTTCATTAACTTCACTGTTTTTTTCTTAACTTCATTAACTTGACTGTGTGTGTTTGTGTGTGGTGGCAGGTTCATGAACTTGGAATATGGTAGATAGAAGGTCTCCTCTTCAAAATCACATAAAATCATAAAATCAATCATGGAGATCGAAAATTTCCATTGAAGGATTCTAAGCCAGTATTTTAGGTGGTTCATTTATGTTGGAGGAAGAACCTGGCTATTTGTCTATAGAACAGCTATTTGTATGAAGATAAGCTCGTTCATAAATTAGAAAAGCAAGATGCAGCATCTCCCTATGCAAATTTGGTATCCAAAGAGAGGGAACCTTCGACTTGTGCCCCGTAGTACTCATTCAAGGATCAGCATCTCACAAGCTCTATGCTGCAGAGGGGTTTGCTTATTGTCCCAAAGCATGTGCATCAGATCTCCAAGGAAGATCCATGCTTGAACTGTTGTTTGATTCAATCTAGATGGGTAATCTGTAACGTGACTAACACAAACTTTACTCTTTGGAGCTCTCAATTGTTGGATATTTTAGATGTGGCCATTCTGATGATGTTCTTTTGTTGCATCATTTTCAGGTTGAAAAGTTGCATTGAGCTCCTGAATGCAGACATTGGTCTATATTGATAATAAATTTGTTGTTCTTCTCTCACTAGTTTGAACTTCAAATTTTGGAAGATCTAAGGACTTGCAGCTGGCATTTAAGAAGATCATGGAGAAGAAAGGATGCTGTTTACAATGCAGCAGTGGTCACCGGTTTCATGCATGAGGAGCATTTGAGCCTGGTATTCACCTGCTCCAAGGACTGCGACTGTTAAAGAGGGTGACCCTCATGAGCTTGCTGTAGCCAACAGTGCAGTTATGAGAATTAAGAGCGCCATTGCCATGGCCTTATTGCAGGGAATTTGGCCTGTCAAATGAGATGCTGCAGACTAGCCCTATGGGTGTGCATCCTAAATGTGATTCTGAGTGGCAGACTCTGTACTGAGCCAATGTAGAGAACAGCTACTGCTTGATGGAGTGCACTTATTGCCTGACTCGGTCAATGTGGGAAGAGCTTCAATTTGAAGTTTCCCTGGCATGCTGCTTGTTACCATGCCTGCACGACGACAGTAGATTCTCCAGCTGATTGAACTTTTGGTCAACTGATCTGCAGAGATGCAATCTTGTCTGGTGTTTTGTTTTCTGGTTGTGGCCACCGAAGAGGTTCAGTGAATCTTGGTTCAAGCTAATTGATTCTGTGGCCTGAAACTAGCAGAGAGCAGGCTAAGCAAAGATTTGGCATCTCCGAAGGACAATGGTGACTTGAGCAGGGGCTGTCGTTCCTCTGTCATGGTCTCCCAAATGAAGTATTATGAGAACATTTGAGGTGATCAAGCAGACCATTACTGTACACTTGAGAATGTGCGCTGCTGTTCTCGGAGACAACATCCTTCGTCTCATGTATAATCTAATAGAAGGAGACCCATGGTTAGTGGAGTCACCATATCTACCATCTCTGTCTCTCTCCCCTCCTTTTCCTCATGGAAACCGAAACAATATGATGATGCAGTCTCGATTGCTCCTCGCTGTGACACAAATGGCATGAATCTTTTCCGGTGCCTATTCCACCATTTTGCCAGCCATATGTGGAAAGCAGCCAAAAGCTGCATCAACAAATACAAGGAACCAATAGATTGGTCTCTAATGCAATGCTTAATGCCACCTTTCGGACACTTGCTCTCGAGGGCTATAATTATTCACCGTATCTTCCCCTTCTCCGTCGTTTCTGCGTTGATTTCGGTGTTTCTTTTCTTTTTGCTGTTCTGCACCGCTAATCTCGCATTGCAGAAGGAATCGTAGAGATTTGTAGCAAAGATCTCATCTTTTTCTATTTTTAGAGGTGCGTACAGCGCTGTCGGATCTCCGGGCCACCCAATTTTGCTTCGCCTGGTGGTCTGGGGTGATCTCTTTCATTCTCATATCCGCAGGGCTCCCTTGCCCTCCCCAATTCATCCCCCATTTTTCTCGATCCCAGGCCGTCCCGGGTCACCGGAGGCCCGGTCGATGCTTTAGCCGCCAGCAGCAACAATGGGCTGCGCCGCATCGAATGAGGCCGTCTCGGTGACACCGGCCGTCGACTCCGCCGGCATCCTAAGGGACCAACGGGCGTCTTCG